AGGGGTCAGAGAGGTCACCGAGGGGAAGGGTACCGTGACCGTTATGGTTACCGGGCCGGTCTAGGCGGGGCGACTGATTCTATCAGGTGACGCGCACTCTGCCGTGACCCCACTGCAGGGGCTAGCGGTGCGTGCGACGCTGCGACCGGCGCGGATCCATGTGATGCACGGGCGCGCAGAGGCAGAGCAAGACCGTCGACCTCGAGACAGCCTGTCATGTATTTATAACCGCCAATGTCCATCATAAATCCCCATCGTCCATCGCCATCGTCCGCTCCCCATCACACCGTCCACCGTCTATCGTCTAAGGGTCTGTTCCAGTCGCACTTCCAAACACCTCTTAACTCCTCCAAGATTGCTTCCCTGTTCAAGTGGCAGCTCTAGCCCCTAAAAAGCCAAGGAGGACCCTGCTCTTACCTCCTCTATCTCGCTCTTGGAGGAGTTTAGAGGTGTTAGGAAGTGCGACTGGAACAGACCCTGCCTATCTCTCACCGTCCAGTTCCGTCATCCATCGCCCATCACCCACAGCCTACCGCCTCTGTCCACATCATTCATCATCTGTCGTCCACGGCCGCAATCTGTCCCGAAACTGGCCCTGCCATCGTCGCCCCGTTCGATGGTTAGGGAAGGCTCAATATGTCGGTTATATGATTCACCCGCACTGTCCTCAAAAATTTATAATTGCCCGACCCGTATGCGACTGCACGCACGTTGTGATGCATTGAGATCGTGGAGCAGAGGCGATCATCAATAGCAGATTATAGGTTTGATAGTGCTGCTGGAGGGGTGTGTAAGCGCGGCCTGAAGTAAACTGAGGTTTTTGGGATAGTCCGACGAAAACTCCTTCAACCGAGCATTACATCCGATCTGAGTGCACACTGCACACAGGATGGAGATAGCTGTACTTACCTTTAACGACAGCGGCAGGATTACAGAGATGGAGGAGGCAGCAGATCAGCGGCAGACGCCGCTCCCTGGTGACGAAACCGATACAGCCCAGGCCAGATGCACCGGCACGGCCAGCGGCCAGCAGCCGAACGCTGCACATGCACGGGAACGTCCGGCCCGCGGCGGCTGGCACTGAGCTTCCCCATTCCCGTTCCAGCTGATCCCCATCCCCTCCCCAAGCGAACTCTACTCCACTCAGCCTCCACAGCTGCGCGTAGGAAGCACCACTAAAGCGGATCACTCATATAGCGACATGCCTTGGAGTTGACTGGCCAAATGCGCCTTGCTATCAGACCACTCTTCAATATTGTCAAAACAGCATCCTGTCTCGAACGGTCTCAGCAATCAACAACGTCTCTATTTGGGCCGCGGCATTGGATCGAACCGGCCCCCCGTTATCAATCCCCACATTATAGCCCGCTACCTACAAAAGGTGCGTCCACGGCGGACAGAAGGTCGTCCCGGGCTGCCCGGCTGGCGTCATTCTGGGTTAACGACGGGCGTGTCCTGGCGGACGTTTGAAGGGTGGTGGTCCGCATGTGATAATGTCACCGCGAGCACAGCCCACTGGGCACGGCCCGCCCGCTGCCCACAATGACACCGCACCACGCCGGGGTGAGCGAGATTCAGCCAGATCAGCTGAGCGATACTGGGTTGACAGCGGCACAGTTCTCAGTTGGTTAAACCAACACAAGCGGTAGCCCAGTGGATCTTGTATCAGTAATATCAGTGAGGTCAGTCCCGGGGTAGCATTGAACAGCGATCCCAAAAGGCGGTCATCAGTCAATGCTGTGACCGATCGCTGACTTGTCGGGAGCCACGCGGCCACGGTAACGCGCGAGCTCCACAGCCCAACCACCGCCGTCTAACGTTCAAAGACTTTCTGACACGTCAGTGATTGATACGAAAAAAAGCCGACATGGCCGATCCAGCGACCAGGATCTGTGACGGATTCAACGTTTGTGCTGATGCCAGACAAGATGCCATTCCGCTCAGCCGACCCAATCGCACGGCAGACGACCCCTCCCCACCCTCGCCGCGAGTTCGAAGTCTCTCAGGTCGTGGGGGCGACGATGATGGCGGATCGTTAGCGAACTGGCCCGGGAAATATATCGGCCGGCGATAGCATCAATCCGTCGCCGGTGCCGCCCTCGCCGAGAGAACGCCGATATTGGGGGTCGTTTATCTCGCCAGAGAATACCGTGCTTCATTTCCGCTGCCGGAACCTGTCGGTTAGACGCGCTCAACTCCGCAATCGCTAAGAGCCGCGCTGATGGACGGTCCCGGCCGCCGCCCGGGCGAGACCCGGAGCTCGCAGTGAGGTGAGAGCATGGCGGAGCGGTTGGCCGGCACTCCATAGCAGTGGGGACTCGGCGGGCACGATATACCAGTCCAGCTAATTTTTAGTCCTTACTCCAATTTGTGTTCCTAGATCGAATTAAAATATTATGTTGCAATTACAATACAGGCACCCATAAAAAAATATTCGCCATTTAGGCCTGATCAGTGATCACTGATCGATTACCTATCGATTCCTACCTCTGATAGTGATCAAGCCTGTCCCAACAACACAATTACTAGCCAATGATGTCCATTGACCAGCCGGCGATACCAATCACTCTACCTGACCCTGATCACGGACCAAAGTCTGGTCAGCGACCTATCTACCTCTGCCCTTCCAGTGACAAGCGTCCGAGCATGCTCGATCGTAAGTAGGCCTTCGCTGCTTTGTCCGAGACTCCAAGCAGCAAAAGCAAGTAGCAACTGTTGTGTATGCAGCCTGAGCCGTCAAAAACGAACTCTCTAGCTGTCAGAGAACGATCCAGCCGCCGGAGATGGTCCATCTGGCGGTTAGAGACCTTTCAAGTGCTCATAGACAGTCCTCCATCAGAGATACAGTCCTCCCTCCTGCCCGGCCGAGCCGTGCTGCACGGAGGGTCGCGGGCCGCCAATGACCAGCTATAAACACGTCCGAGCCGCCGCGCCGGTGACTCACGTGCTCAGCACGGTGCAGCCGCCCGAGGCCAGGCCAGCCTGCAGGCCGGTCACCGGCCCCAGCCATCGCTGACGGCATCCGACCCCAGCGGCGACAATGTGACAGCAAGGCCAGCAGGGCTCGTCCGTCATAGGTATCCACGTGGTCGTATATAATCCGGCTACAGTCTAAAGCGGGTAGGACACTGTCAGGAAGGAAACTGTCAGACTAACCCACTGACCTTAGCCAGTAATATGTTCTACTTCTAAATGGACTGCAAACAGCAGGCGAAGCTGAAATGCAGCTGTCGAGAAGTTAGTGCAGCAGATGCCACAGCCGCGCCAGTCCTATCTCATACTCTCACACCGCATTCGTCACCGAACCGCGATGGGCGACCTTTCCGCCTCGAGAGGGGGAGGGAACGGACGGGACGGCGACGGAAATTTATGAAACGGTCACCAATTACACCTCTCGCGCCCGGCCCTGATCTCATGTCAGTGTCGCCGTTTTTTCACATACGGGCAGGCGGCGGGCGGGCTTCAGAAAGAGGACATCAAACAGCAAGGGAAGGGTGTCCAGAAGATTGAGAAAGACAGCTGGGTCGAAGGGGGCGGACAGGAGCTGGAAAAGGGTAGGAGCGACTAATATAGCCAGATGTTAGAAAAAAAACTCAGGCGGTATAGGGCGAGGCGCAGCTACCCATGAGGGATCGGATTCGGGCAAGGCCACATCAAGTGGGCGTGACTCGGGCGGGCTAGGGCGCTCGAAACGTTGGGGCAGTGTGGGTCACAGGAGGCGGGACGGAGGGAAGGACAGAGAGGGAGACGGGGAGGACAGAGTGGGAGAGGGAAGGACACCGAGAGAAGCGGATGAATCACCATGCAGCAGCGGCGGCGGCAGCGGCGAGATGCAAACAGGGCGCAGCAGGACGGCCAAGGCCGCCCGCTCGCGCCACATGGGACCATTACGGTCCGATGCCGTCCGTCATCCGGCCCACCATTACACAGCCCAACAAGGCACCTGTAAACAACGGAGAAACGCAGACGAGACAACCGGGGTCGCTTTCTACCCATTTTGAGACATGTTCTGAAGCCCACAGGACACGACAAACGCCGATATTTCAAGAGCATAGGCTACGGTAGCCGATAGCCATTACACGCAAGACGCGGGAGGACTCCGCGATAGGCGACATCCATTTATCAAAGAGCACCCCTCGAGTAGATGGTGAGAGCTCGTGTTTGTGTTTGTGTTTGGACTTAAAAGAACCGTTTCAGTTCCGAGGGTGCTTCAGCAAACGTCCATACAGCCCACGAGTCTGGTCACCCCTCCTTCCTGAGGCACATATTAATGGTGCTGATTAATGAAGCCATTGGGCATGAAGGTGCCGGGTGTTCACGGGCACCGCACACTGCTGCGTGCGGTGTGTGCGGTGCGTCCAGCAGGCGTGGGGGTAGGGGATGGGTAGGCGGCTCTGACGTCACGGCTGCGTGCGGTGGACGGTCTGCTGTGGCCAGTCCCGACCGGCCACAGCGATCGCTGTGTGCGGTGACGGAAGGCTGACGTAGGGACGCAGTGGGCGGAGTTTCGAGGCTGTGTGCGGTCCGACCGCACACCGGGCCCGTGAACAGCCCTGGGTCAAATGTCTAGAGAGATTGTCATAAACAAGCATGGCAATGTGAGTTCACATAGGCTGAATAATAAGGTAAATGACCATAAAGACATGGCAATAAAATGACAGGCCTCTGGTAACCAGATTTTTTATGACTCCTGACCTGATCCTTTGACCAACAAGTAATAACAAAAAATAAATGCAAATGAATATTAATGCTTTTTGTTTCAAAATTATAAATTTCAGAATCAAAAACAAATCAAAAGATTCATGCCAATGAGTCAGCATTCCAAGCATCTCACAGCACAGCTCTGTAACAAACATCTCAATCTGCAAACAAGAGCTTATAGCTGAAACCCATAAGACACACACTAATGCTAATTGCTACACATATATGATGACAATGCCAGTAATATCACATAATGTTTAAGAAAGAACTCTTAAATACAGAGAGGGCACAGCCAAGGCACCATGGGTAACACTTACCATGAGACCCAGAAGTTGCACATTGACATGACAGCTGTGACCATGGTGCTACAAGATGGTGCAGCAGCAGCCCGATCCACCTTCATCTTCTAGGCTGTCGTTCATTTCCCGTACAATCTCAGTGAAAACTTGATTTACGTTGGTTTTACTTTTGGCACTCGTTTCAAGAAATGGACCACTCCACATCTGAGCAAGAGCCATTCCTTCTACCGTTGACACTTCACGTTGATGCTCTAGGTCAACCTTGTTGCCAACGAGCATGATAGGTACCCTGTCAGTTCCTTTCACCCTAGCAATCTGTTCCTTCATATTTTTAATGTCTTGAAAGGTTTGATGATTGGTAAGGCTGTAAACAACCAGGAAGCCCTGTCCATTCTTGATGTACAAATCACGCATGCTGGCAAACTGTTCGGTACCAGCAGTGTCCAAAATCTCGAGCACACATGGAGAACCATCCACCTCTATTTCTTTCCTGTAGAAATCTTCAATCGTCGGGTCATATTTTTCCATAAAGTGTCCGGTTACAAATTGGACGGTCAAAGCACTCTTGCCCACACCGCCAGAGCCCAAAACGACAACTTTTAATTCACGCATTTTCAAGCTTGATGGTCCTTCACAATGATACTAAAACAGTCTTAAAAATTTCTCTTAATCGACTGACACACTGGCGCAACGCCCACCTACACACCACTCAGAATTAGGGAGCGCGAAATCACACAACCGCACCACACCCCCTCCATCGCGGATGTGCAACAGGCGGTCAAGGACTCAGGTGATCTGAAACTCTTCGAAGTTGAACGATAACGTGACGTCATTAGTTCCGCAGCTCTGATTGGTTGTCGTTTCTGGCACCTGCAGAATAGTGATTGAAAATTTTTCAAAGAATGATAATATCCATGAGCTACATACTGCTTACTCTTTACTTTTGGCCAGTTCCTCTTCCTGAGTGTCACCTTTTGTTTCCTTTCAAATATCAAAAATATACATATACCAATTTCGTAAACTTCAATCTTTTTTCATGAGAACGGACTAGTGACGTAAGAAATATAACATGTCTAACACAAATGATGAGACAAAACAGGTGTGCAATAACGACGCATGCGGCAAAAATGACGCCGTCCGTTCAAGGCTATGAAATGGGTATGAAATCGCCAAGATTCTTACGGAAATGGCTACATTTTAGTCCAGGTGACAACTGACAAGGAGATAACTAGATAAAGTCCTGCAGTTTCTATTGAGCTGGTTCCGATTACTCAGGTTCCAGGATGATGTCAGCGACCGCAGATGCCCTGAACGCCCTCAGTGCGAGAGCTAGCGCAATGCCAATGCCAATGACACTAAGGACTAGATGGCGCTCGTGAATAGCAGAGGGCGCTAGAGTAGCATTAGAGATGGCGCTAGTGCAGCAGGGAGGGCGCTGGTGTAGCAGGGGAGAGCAAGATTAGAGGACTAATGTGGCTCTACCCAAGACCCTAAAGCTCTACCAACTTGGCTCTACCATAGAAATGGCTCTACAATGATTCCCTCCCCCCTGAATGTGGCTATGATGGTGAGGGTGCCATTTAATTTGTAGACTAAGCGAGTATCCGGACTCCGATACATTGACAGACAGACAGACAAAAACTTTATTCCAGACCATATTGGTCCATAAAAAACCCTTCACATCATAAAAAACACACACACAAACACACATGCTAAAAAGACACACACTGCAGCCTAAACACAGGGGAGTTAGGACATACAGCTAGTGCTGGACGGAATCCTGTCGGCTGTCAGCTTCACACGGGATGGGACGCCACTCCTCATGAGCGGGATGCGACAGAGGAGGTATGTACCAACTTGTCAATTATCCGTGTGGAATAGTAAATGAATGAGTACCGATCAGGAGCCATGTAGGAGTCTCGACTGCAGGGGGGGGGGAGTCTCGACTGACAGCCCTTCCCCCGACTGGACCGATACAACTGCTTACTAACTATAAATGCAGTGCAGCTGCTTTATCGCTCAACAGCCAGCTGTGGTACCTAATAGGATCGAGATCAGCAGAAACAGGGAAGGAACTGAATGTTCTTCAGAGTTCCTAACACATCGGAGTCCACTCAGCTTGTGAGGAATTGTATGTATGTATAAACCAACATTCCCTTGCAAAAGTTCACCCGACGTACGTACCTACTGATCTGAGATACACACTACATACTGTATAATCGTCATATTATGCCGTGCCGCGACCCATGAGGACAACGCTGAGAAAAACCGAGGACGTGAGGACAGCTCAGCCCATCCGCCGTCCGGTGGCGCTGGTGTCGGTCGACAGTGCCGTCCAAAATCACTCATTAGCTGCACTCGGATCGGGCGGACAGACGCAGACCAGAGCGCCCGCTGGACAGGCTCCCCGGGTCGACTCGCTAGCGACAGACGACCGGGTACAGCGAGCGACTCTGGCTCTCGCCGACTGACGACTCTGACTCGCCGACTCGACTCCGCTGGTATGGAGGTGCGCTGGGCGCGACTGGTCGTGGCTGCGGCGGTGGCAGCGGTGGCCCGGCCCTCTCCGGCTCCGCTGGGTACCGGGGTTGACTGCGAGCTACCTGCCAGAGTCCGAGACAACATCCTCCGGTACCGGCCGCAGGTGGACCGCATCATTGAGGTGAGCGGATCGTGTGAACCAGTCAGCAGCCAACTCGATAATTCTGCCTCACGGGCCAGAATGGAAGCATTGCGCGAGAATATCGACTTATTGGGCTTACACACTGTGCAATCCTGTTTCAGCCCATGAGCGATTTCGCATCACCCAACAATCTTCAGTCTCATACGCTTCAGATTTATAATGGAGTAGCCTCGTTCATAAATTACGAAAAGTTAATTACTGCACAAAGCAGATAACTAGCGCTGGCCTCCTCAGCCCTTTGAAAGTAATCGACGCATGTTTACGTTATAGTGCGGCCTTCAACGTCTAAGCAGTCCAAGCGGCTGCCGGCTGTCCTCAGCGCCAACGGTGCGGCAGGCATTCCACAAAGCACACATGCTAGACCGAACAGAAGTCAGCCCTGGAGGGCCGTGCACTTAACACATGACAAACATGGCCAAGGCCACATGACAAGTAGGTAGGTATTACATACCCGGAAGGATTTTTTAACAATTAGCCCTCGCCGAGCTTTTGAGGTCTTATGTTAACCAATGACAATTAAGATCGTTAAATGGAACAAGGTAGAGTGAAGACCCAAATTGAATGAGAAGCTAGGTAGGTATCCGAGCGTCTGTTTCTTTCTCTTTGCGTCCCGGGCAATCGTCAGAAAACCGTCAAGAGGCTCATCGGGGGTAGGGGAGAGTGGGGTAATTTGGCCGGTGGTGTAAATTGGCCGCCCCCACCTGTACCATGTCTAATAAAAGTGAGTGAAATAACTCTAGTCTCTAGTATTCATTTGTCATGGGTAGAAATAACTGGAGGACAAATGTCTAAACTTTGGCCCTCGTAGTTTTATTCAAAATTAATACAACGTTAATTTCATTAGGAAGTGGTAACTTTTGCTTCTGTTTACAAAATTGTATAACATGTAGTATTTGGGCTAAAAACGAATTCAGACATTATAGCGCCATTCTTGGGGGTGTTCAGCGGTTCCAAGAGCAATTTCATCTAATTCCGTATAGCCGTGATGACTTTATAGACAAAAATTTTCAGAATGGCAATATGGGGTAATTTGACCGGGACTAGCGAGGCAACTTGGCCGGTGCGCTGATGGTCACTATGCTAGGACGGCCGAGTTTTCATTGTCAATTGTACCATAAATGACATGATTCATGACCAACTTTGACTACTTTGATGCCTTACTTCCGATTGGTCAACTGTAAGAGCATGTGACGTCATCAAAGGTTACCAAACGTTTTTTGCTAATAAATCCTTACATAAAAATGGTACAGCCACACAAATGGTCTCATTCTGTTCAGTTCGCCAAGGCGCATCGAATGATATGCATGATGACCTTGAAATCACGTGACCTTGAGGTCTAGCGACGTGAGGTAACGTGACCTGAGGTAAACCTTTGACCTTGACTTCTCGAGGTCAACACATATATGTTTCGATGCGGACTGACGAGAGAATTACGATGGTACTCGAAGCTTTGGCCTAGCTTGATTACTTCAAAAGTTATTCGTAAAAAACTGTCTTCGCATCTAGAGCCGCTAATTTGGCTATTTTGACCCCTGTGACCCCTGAGTTAACCTCCAAAATGCGGCAAATGCGTCATAGGACACACGTCATTGCTGAATCTGAAGCTGACTCGCAATATAACAGAAAATCCCGGCCGCAAACTTAAACCGGCCAAATTGCCCCACACCCCCGGCCAAATAACCCTGCTAGTGGGGCAATTTGGCCGCCTTGCAGACCTTTGTAATACGTCACAATTTCAATATAAGTAATTACTCTATCATTTCAAGTTCACTGTCCAGTAAAGTAAAATGAATGCGACACCTGCCAGCGTTGAGAAAATGCAGAAATGTGTCGTCAATTTTAACCCGCGCGGGGCTGGGGTCTCCAGCCGAACGCGCGGGGCTGGGGGGGGGGTAAATTTTACCCCCCCCCCCTGTTATCTCCCGAACTAATGGTCCGATTTGGAAAATTCAAACGCCAATCGAAAGCTCTCATCACGAACTACTAAAAACATGTACTTAATTTAAAGTTTGAGGTCAAGGTCAAGGTCAGGTCAAGGGTACAAATTGCAAGTTTCTACAGTATCGGCCTTGCACCGTAGTTGCCGAAGAATAGAGTCATGGACTGAGACTGATCGCCCAAAACGTGTTCTTAGGCTACCAAGACAATATTCGTTGCATACAATATCATTCAGAGGTCAAGGTCAAGGTCAGGTCAGGTCAGGTCAGGTCACCAAAAAACAAAATATAGAAACCCAGCCGGCAATTCGCTTGGGCTAAACTATGGCAAACGTCGGGCAGCTTGGGCTTAGCCTGGGTTTGCCCACTTCGATCAAAACCAATGCATTTTTTACTTGGGCTGAGCTTGGGCATGCCGCAGCTATGCCCGAGTGTTACCAGCTGCAGCTCAGCCCGACATCCGCCCGCGCAATCAAAGCAGGCTCAACTTGGGCGGAGCGCGGGCTGATCAAGCTGGTTGTCTCCTTTGGCTAACTGGAGTAAAGCCGAAGTTGAGCCATACTTGATCGGCTGTTCACGCATGCGCATTTCTGCGCCAGTCACGTTTTGCTCGGGCTTACATCGGGCTACCGCCAATCGTCGCACAACTAGGGCTAAGCTACGGCTGTCCGGAGCTCGCAGAGCGGGCATACCTCCGGCGGAGCATGGGCTTTAGTCGGCGTTTTTGTGTCATACGCCGACTTTAGCCCAAGCCCTAGCCGACTTTAGCCCGACTAAAATCTCGGGCAAGCCGCACTTTAGCCTGCTTGGGCCCGGAGTAAAATTGCTGGCTGGGAAAGGGCATGTGCGACACATGTTTTATGGGTCATTTTACTCATAGAATTCAATAGACACACTCAATAAGTGATATGGACCACCTCTGGATGAATTTCAGGTCGAGGTCAGGTCAAGGTCAGGTCAAGTGAGGTCAAATTTTGAAGTTGCTTGTTAAGGCCTAAAAAGGTGTCTATCTGATGCAGTTTTTCACGGCGAATCGAATGTTGCTATTTTTGTTTCCGTACGAGGTCTAGAACTTCCAAAAAAGTCATTTTTCAAAAATTTGTGTGTCGTGACGTCATAACATTTTGAATAACTCCCACATTTTTGAACCGATTCTT